GTATTCATGAAGCCAGCGGCGCGGCCAGCGACGGGAGCGCGCAAACGCACTTGTATGTTTGTGGTCAGCCTTCCTTGGCGCACCTGTGACACACTTGGGCACAGGGTGGGATACATTAGCAGACATTATGGGTGGGTGTGTTAGGGACTGTGACAGTCATGGAGAGTTTTCCTCTGAGGAAACGTATTCTTGTATGGGACTTGCATAATTCCAAATATGATTACAACAGCTCAACTATACCAAGAGCAGCTGATCACTCTTTTTAAGCTGAATTCACTTTTCTGGATATGTTGAAGATACACATCACAAATCAGATCACAAATGTGCTGAGCTGTCAAGCTGCTCGGAGCAGGTGTGCAGCGGACACTTTGCACCACACTGCCACACCCTCCACCGTGATTCCCCGTGGTGCCACCAGTCACCAGGATACCGAGCCAGCTCAGGCCAGGACCTCTCTGCACCTTAGCCGACACCAAAATAGAGCCCACATGTACAGTTTCCGTTTGATTGACAGGATACATTCTAAAGGCGTCTGTGGGTGTGCAGAGCACATGCACGTTGTGTTCCTTTTATTCAATTATTATAAGTGTAAAAATATGCTTTTTTTAGTTCCTCTAAACCTTTAGCTGAGATTAGGCAGACAGGAATGCCAGAATACTGAGAAAACCACACTGTATGTTTAATCTTCAAAATGAACCAATTTATCAAATACTCCACAACAGACTATTGTATCCACAAGAACCCTGAACAGCAACTGCTGAAATGACTTTATCAGAGATGATTTAAAATTTCCAAACTGATATTTGCCCTATGTTTCACTCTGGCCAGCAGGGGGGGCTGCAGCCCCTACACCCACCTTCCCGCGCTAATGATCAGCAGCACTTGAGAGTTAACCTGCAAAATGTAGCTCAAAGAGATGCAAAATGACCATTGCAGCTGTTGTGCAGAGGGGTCCTATATCTGTGCCCAGGGGTCCATTATCTCATAATCTGTCCATGTGGGCTTTTATATTCGACGGGCTGCAATAATTACTTCTACTTTCTATAATAATTCACTTATACCTTATTTTTAGATTGACTGTTTAGTCTATAAAATGTATAAGAAAAACATTCTTTTGCCTGTCCAACAGTCCAAGGATATTACATTTGCAATATAAAAATCCTCACATTCGAGAAACTGAAACCACAGAAGGCATCATTTTTGCTTGATAAATAATTTTCATTATTAACCGATCACTTTGATGTTAATTAATATGACTTAATGATTATTGACTAGGCCTAGTTGTTTAAGCACTACAGTAGGCTATGTTAAAACAACAATATGGTGAGATACATACAAATGCGTAAACCATTTGGGCCCATGAAAAATGTCCCCACTATAATTATAAACACGTCTGTATTGTCCAGGAAAATTAGAACCTCTCCAGTACCTTTGCATTCCCACTGATAGACAGTAATGTTCTCCTGCACAAAGCCTGCCCCACTCTGCCTACAAATACCAGCATGCATTGTGTATGCACAAACTGAAGACCTGCCAAGTTTGATTCTTCTCCTGGCTGTAAAAATTGATGAACAATAGGCTATGCAATGTTTGCTGCTGGGAAGAATCAGGTTAAACCAGACTGGCACTGTGTCTTGTATGGCTTTACAAAGCTGCTAGTTGTAGACTGATTAAAAAATCTTAGTATCGCTAAAATATGCATGAACAGAGTAACCTGTGATAAATCATTTAGCCTGATGAGATGCTCCCTGTGGGCTCTCTGAAGGCACACAACACTTGGAGAGCACACAGAGGAAATATTACAAATATTGTGACACACCAACACATGAAAGTGGAGAATGTTCCTTTAGGTCTGCATTGCTGTATTGGCACTAAAGACCAAACATTTATTCAGGCTTTAAAATTCTACTTTTTGTATGCTTTTCTTTTGCATTGAAACCATATTGTTATATTGTCCTAGTTTTGTCAGTCTGATGCTCTGACTCTATTACTCTATTATCAGTAGAACAAAACACTTTCTAAGGGCTTTGCTTCTTGAGTCACAGTCACTTCGGATAGTTAAATACAAAAGATTTATATAAGTTGACTTTATTAATGTTAATTAAACATGCAGGCTACAACAAAGCTGGCAACAGCAGCATATTTTTTATTTTTACATTATGTAAGATTTGTTTTTGTGCGTTTCAGAGTGTAATTCACCACTGTTGTTAATAAGGACAGCCGCACATGTGTATTTATTATGATTACATGACTGATTATTAAAAACTAGCAAATCGACAACTTCGCTAACACAGCCAAACATCAAGCAAGTGCAACAACACAAGACACAGCAATATTTCTCACTAGTCCATCATAAATAAGGCTAGCTCAGCGTCTGTCTTGCAGCCTTTTATTTCACAAAGCTCTCGCCAACGTCCAGGAGCCTCTTGCTCGGTTACTCTCTTTTTCTCTTCTATAGCTTCCTCTGTCAGCATCGTCCTTGGTCTCTTCGCCTCTGCCATTAGCTAGCGTTATGTCCATAGAGGCTGCTGAGCTTCTCTCCGGCTCATCCCTGGCACCGCTCTCCACCAATAGCTGCATAATGTTGCTTGAAACTTGTTGGGCAAGCTAGCTAACAAAGTTATATACCAACTGACGCAAGAGCACGTACAGTAACGTTACCAATGTTCAAGTGAGCTAGCTTCAGTGTTCAAGTTTGCTAACATCAACTTGAGATTTATAGCAAGCGGCTAAACCTCTGTCTGTAAAACCTCTGGCTGAGATTGCTTGAGTCGACACCTTTGCTAACAAAGGCAGACATCAAGCAAGCGCAACAACACAAGACACAGCAAGCCAACTCATACGTTGTCACTTACTAGTCCAACAGAAAGTAAAAACCAGTCTGCTATTTACTCTAGTCCGGTCACTCTCTCTTTTTCTCTTCCTCACTTCCAAACTACGAGCCTATACAGAGCCTGTATGACCAGGTAGTTATGAAACAGGCTAGGAAAATTAAACAAGACCCTCAACATCCCTTCTTCCCTGAATACGAAACCCTGCCATCAGGAAGAAGACTCCCTGTGCCAAAATGCAAATCCAATCGCCTAAAATTATCATTTGTGCCAGTCTCCATTAATCTGCTAAACAATGTCAAGTAGAGCTGTGTGCAATAAATATGTGAGCACTTCAGCACTTTACTTGTGATCCCGGGGCAATGGGGCAACGTGCAACAAACATACTAGCACTTTAGCACTTGCACTTTAATCCATGGAACTATGTTGTCAACAATGTCCTTTTTCTTCTGTGTTTATATTTCACTCTTGTGAAGTACAACATGTCAATGCTTCTCAGGTTCTTGTTGATGTCTTTTGTGATGTTTTTTTATGAAGCAACACTGCACTGTGCCCAAGCAGAATTTCCCCCTGGGGACAATAAAGTTAACCTAACCTAACCTAACCTAAAGTCTTCTCTTAGCAGCCTCTGCCATGATATCCATACAGAGAATACATACCTAGTTTCTTCCAAAGAACTCACATAGTACATTCGACATTTTGTTTCTTAAAGCTTGCTTGCTGATGAGTCTTGTTGGTGCAGTAAAGCATTACGCCATTGTTGAGAAATGTTGTTGGTGCACGTCTGTGACTCCAGTGTTACAAAGCGCCAATAACCAACATTTGAAGCTGTTATTTTAAGATAAAATTACTACATAATGTTGCTTTAATTATGAAATAAGTTCCTCTGATGCTCTCATTTATTTTCTGTAAAAACAAGTAAGCAATATCTCATCACTTCTCCTGTGTGTTGCTGCAACACATGCCAACACACCAACTGTATGTAAGTCTCTCATAGTTATGGGAAGCTGAATGCACTGAACAGAGAGTAATATGCATAATCTTCTGTCCGCTGTAGATCAGCTCCTAAGCTTAATGTTGCTGTTTTGTGGCTGAAATGGGTTATTTTTTGTGGCAGAATTTCAGCTCTGGGTAATTAAGGTGACCATCATTGTGATTCAGGTCATACAGATAGCATTTGAAATTTGCAGGCTTTTAACTGGGAGTGTGTTCATATGCACGAACGTAGTAACATTGCAATAGCGTTAGGATCTCTATTTGAAAGTATCACACCAAACTGCATGCAAATCCAAGTAGGTATAAATGTAATGTTTAGCTAGTTTATCTTACTGGTCTCAAAGTCGTTATGAAATCATGTGTGTCCGAATTTAACCAGGTTCAATCTTAATCAGCATCGCACAGTGTGGAAAAAATGTCATTGACACTGTTCGCATTTTAACAAACTACAGGAGTCACAATCAGAAGGCAAAACACTGAGAGGTTCAGCTAGGAAACAACTGAAATGTCGGATGGAAGTTTCGTTATAATGACAGACACAAATTGTTTAGCAAAACATGCCTACAGCTCTTCTTCCCTATCTTATAAACACAAGGTTGAAATGACTCATTTGTTTTTAGTTTGCTCAAGTTCTTTTATACAAATTTCAGCACATCAATTTGAGTAGAAAATTGCACGATAATATGCTTTTATGCAAAAAAAGTCTCTCGGTTTTTTTAAAACAATCATTTTTGGCTGGAGGCAATAAAGTCTGTTGTCAACTGTCTGACCTGAGATGCCAACCCTCAACCTGCAAACACAAGAAGATGCTTTGGTACATTCTGAGCTGCTTGGAAAAGCTTTTATTTATGCCAGAGATGCAGAAGCTCAAACTGAAACAAAAACAGACTCGATCCCACAAACCAGCAGTAAGAAAAGTCCTGCAGCTACAAATCAAAATGTGGAAACAATATATCCTTTCACATTTGGATGATGAGTGGGGGCTGAGGGAGGAGTGACATGCTGCTTCCCAGTCTCTCTTCCATGATCACGATGCTTCCAACCCCTAATCTTGACTGCAGATGCAAATAGTCTAAAAAACGTCCCTACCAAAGATTTGCATTTAAACAAATAGATAAAGGTCATTTTCAAAAGCTGCCTCCTCATGACTGCAGTATGAGGTGGCATGTTCCATGTGTCCCTGCCCTCCTGACAGCGTAGTTAAAGCTCCCATCGTGGCACGGCATTCAGTATGGAGCTGCACACTGGGATTTAGCTACTCTAGGCAAATACAGCCGAGGAAGAACAGAGAGGCCCCTGTGTGTGTGTGTCTATGTGTGTGTGTGTGTGTGTGTGTCAGACTGCTCAACAGCATCATGGACACAGGTAAGACATACTCATTCATATATGACAGCTGCTCCTGCTGTCATTATTACTGTTGCCATAAACCTTGTACATGTTCTACATGTAACGTCTAACGGAACTTTTGCTGCAAGGTTGTTTTAACCTGTTAAACATCCATTTTTAATTTTATAAAATAGTGTTTTTCTTTTGGAGGGTGCATGGTAGGCCATTTAGAAGGATTTTTTTGTGTGCGTGTGACAATGTCATTCGTGTCGTGTCTAGTGTTTGATGACATGTGTGCTTATTAAATCAATAGTTTCCTTTCTTGATATTGTCGATTCAGTAGGGCTGACATAAGAAATATGTCAGCTAGGACAAAGCAATGTCAGTAAATGCCTTCTCCATAAAAATCATTAATCAGTGTTTGATATTTGAAAGATGCTGGAAGGTATATGCTGATTAATACAATTCATATTGTAACATAAATATAAATAGGGAATAATACCTGATGGGATGATGTTTAGCTTTGTGGCCAAGTCACACATTGTAAAACATTCAAATTTTATTTTGATGTAATCCAAAGAATAATGCATATTTTCAAGAATTTCATTGGCTGAGCAAAAGTTGGGGCTTATCTCAAATATCCATTCAAAAAGTTGTGATCTTTTACATAAAGTTTTTTGCATGCAATTCCCGTTTGCATAATAAAGTTTGCATTTTCATTGAGTTTATGCTTCTGCTTCCCAGGAATGTGCCCAAATCACACCAGCACCTATTTGAGATTTGTAAAGACTAAAGTAATAGCAAATGAGCTACTTCTACTGGATGATGCATGCATGTAGAATTTCACATGTTTATTTAAGTGTAAGATTCTTTTGTAATATTTCCATTATTTTAGCAGGCCATTTGCATTGACCAAACCAAAGGCAATTTCCATGACATTTACACACCAATCCCAAAGAGTCATTCACCTTTATGAATAAAACTGTGAAACATTCAAATGAACACACAATTGTGGGGATGGATGAAAATTTGGATGAAGTTGTGTTGCCAGTCAAACTGTTTCTGGATTTGTATCAAACGTGGATTCCCAAATGGTTTTTCTGCTCTGTCTAGAATATTCTAAGAGAGTGTACCAAGGCGTTCGAGTCAAGCACACAGTCAAAGACCTGCTGGCGGAGAAGCGATCCCGACAAACAACTGGGCCCAGATACGGTGTAAGCACAATCTCCTCTAAACTGCCCTGCTTTGTCCTGTCCTGTCTCTCCCCACTTCATTTTTCTCCCAAACCAAACAGTGCAGCCACAGTTGACATTCTGTTGGTGGCACAATTAAGAGGTTGCTTTCTAAAAATCTCTTCTCCTTGTTTACATTTTGGTTTGTTTTGTGGACCAACGATCCATGGTTGATCCATTGACCAACTGTACCTCCCCCCTCTGTCTCTGCTCCCCTCGAGCGCTCGCAAAGCCAATCTGTAAATAGCTGAGCGCGGTTTGTGTAGAGAGAGACACAAAGCCCAGAGTCTCATCCTGACCTCACAAAAGAACATCGACACAATACTCGCAATGGTGACGGCCATGATCTTCCAAAAACTCCCCCGAGGTGGAGGCGGGGTGGGAAGATTGAGGTGGACAGGTAGCATAGAGAGACAGAAAAAGGGCAGCGAAGGAGGCTGCCTATGCAAAGTTTGATCCACGCACACCTGCCAGCTGACATTGTCCTCTGTAGTGTACAGGCCGCAGACAAACCTCCTATTGTTGTCTCAGAAACACACGCCAACACACACTCTCACAGCCACAGAAGCAAGGCTCTGCTTTAGACCCCTGCATGCACAAGCAAGACTGGCTTTTCATTTTCCACAAACCGCCTGTCAAAAGGCTTTTACAGGACAGTATCCACTGTTTGTTTTCTGTTTAGCATCGGCATGTCCTCTTTATGGATATGCAGGCCGCTAACGACAGGCGTAATGAGGGGATTGTCTGAAAGACAATAGATAAAATATCATCATGCAACAAAGAGAGGCGGGTCAAATAAATCGCCCTTCTCAAATGTAACACTTGGCATGAAATTACTGGCTGAGGCTTTTATTTAGAGCTTTGTAAGAAGAGATCACAGCAACTGGACCTATGTTCTGTGACAACGGCGGAGCTGGGGGGTTGGTGGCTTCAGAATCTAACGTCCAGAATCTTTTAGCTTTTTAAAATAACTTTAACTTTGTTACATTTCCACTCAGTCTCTCTGACTGGACCGGTGTTCTGCCTTGTCCAAAAATGCTACCATATGTGTTAGCATTTCAACAGGCCGACTCACAGTATTATGACATCTACTGTTTTCGGGGGTAGTGTATTCTGATAATCTGATGATCTGACTAATAATGATTTTTATTAGATATTGCTCACGATCTGTCTCGACGGCATGCTCGACAATAAGGTTGCACAGATTAATGGTCATATGCATGCTCAGAACCGCTAAGTAGCACATCTCGATAGTTAGCATACATCAACAGAACATGGTCAAATCAAGATGAGTAAACGTTCCATTACTGTGGAAATGTCATCATCTATAGGTCCGCCCTAACATCGTATGGGGGGTTGGTATCTTGTTTTGTGTCATTTCCATTGTGTCACTTCAGTGAGCAGGCTTGCTAGCTGGCTAGCTGACCAACTTATTGACTATGGATATGACACTGTTTTTCCCGAGAAGGAAACCTCAGCCACAGAAAATGGTTCAGCAGCTTTGATCATTGAACCGTGGACAGGTGTATGAATCCGCAGCTGTAACAGTTGGCTAGTGAGTAGACAAGATTTCTTGCTGGCTAGCTATCTAATGCAAGTAGAGGTTGTGTCAAATAGAGAATACTGATGTCGTTCAAAGCTTCAAACGTCACTGGTGCTTCAGAAAGCCCTTCATTCAGTTTGACAGTTTCGAAAGTTCTGATCAGCACATTACTGAGAAAAGAAGAGAGGAGGATAACAGAGAAAAATGGCGATCAATATTAAGAAGACTTATTCATACGTATGTGAACGTTTCCTCCTGATTCCAAGTAATACTGGAATAAAAGTAACAAGCTAATTGAATGGATTTAAATCCCTCTGCAATCACTTCACATTGCGACTTAAATATCAACCATGAAGTTTAAAAACATGAGCCCACAGTGGCACTCGGACTAAACTATACCAAAAAGGTACAAACAAAAATATTTTATCTAGGCTTTTTACAATAATATGTGAATTTAATACAGCACTACAACAAATGTATACTAAAGTACAGCTAAATGAATAAATGTAAAGTATACAGGTGTGATAATAACATGCAGGTTTTATAACACACATATTACTATTAATGTCAGCTAAATTAATTACAAGCCACCAGGTGTCACTGATTTTGCTGAGTAAATGTTCATCTAATATTCAATTCAGAGTTGCTACTGAAGACCACACATTGACATGGCACTGTAGGGGACCCTTGATTTGCTCTGAGAGCAGCACTGATTATAATGGGATGGATTCAGATGTTGCACATTTGTCCACTAAACATTTATTTTGTGAATTCTGCTCCAGCATAGTATAACAAAAATTGGTTTCAACATCAGTATTGCTGTTTACACCAAATTCCTACTCTATCTAATTATCTAATTTTTACCTCTTTTTAGATTAAAGAAGCCTCAACATTTGTTGTGTTGTCATGTTTTCACAATGATGAAGAGAGAGTACAGTTAAATAAAACATAGGATGTAGGTTCTACGGGATGATTTTTTCCTGAGCAACTCTCATGTTTTTCCCAAATGATGTACAGATGTTTGGGCTTAAAAAACATTTAGCTGCTGTAATGGGGGAAAACATCTCCCTGAGGGAGCATGCCCCCGCACCCTTCTAGGTCTGGGCAAAGTACTGGATGTCTGCCTCCGCCTCTGTTCTGAGATATGGGGGTTGTTCTGAGTGGGAGGACAGTAAGGCAACAGTAATCCTTGGCTGTGCTGGTGACACATTTAAGTTTTATTTAAAAACAAATTTTGTGGAGGCAGAGCTGCTCTGAAAGATTAAATATACATGCGGTTGAGTTTAGCTTCAGTTGGTGAAGCCAAACAAACACAGTTTCAGAGTGCAGGTGGCTAACTGGTAAGTTAGCCAGCCTCATTACTGTAGTTGATGTTCCTCGTAGCATTTGTGGCGATATTCTATATTCTTCTAATTATCACCGAATCCCATTAAAGACCAAAACCAACAAGGAAGTGATGCTACTAACAAGTATTGTCTATGTATGCTCATCTATGTTATTCCTCTATGCCGTAGAGCTCCACTGCTCTAAAAATACAGAACTTTCTGAATTGTGTACATAAACCAAAATTGTTGAAACTCTGGCAGAAACATATTGGGTTCATGCAGGAGCCCATCACTTGTTGTAAGCTTAATGAGAAATTTCGCATCAATCGCTACCATTTCTGGGAGGCTGTGGCTCAGGAGATAGAGCAGGTTGGCCGTTAATCAGAAGGTTGGTGGTTCAATCCCCCGCTCCCCAGGCTGCATATCAAAGTGGCCTTGGGTAAATTGCTGAACCCCGAATTACACCTGGTGGCTTTTCTGCCAGTGTGTGGGCCCATCTGACATCAGGAAATTTACGTGAGCAAAACTCTAACTTGTTTACTTGGTAACTATAATTGGGTGAGAGGGGGTGTCTAAACCTGACTTTAAATCATGACTTCCAGCACATGGAGGCCGTCAGGGGATTCCACAGATGAGACAATAACAGCAGCTCAAAAAGTTAACTTCTGCTTTTGTTACTCTTCAACAAGCTCTGGAAAATAAAAGTTGACTTTGCATCCACTTTTTAAAATAAAGTGCCAATTTTAGAACAAACTCTTAGGAACTCTAGGAAATAAAAAGTTGAATTAATAAGGAATCAAACACCTTTGCTCAGTTCAATATGCTCAGTGGCTTTGCTGCTACAGCCAATTACAGCCATTAGCCTAATGATAGCTAATGTTAGCAAACTTAAATATATAGCTTATATATAGAGATTGAGATAGTTTAGTTTAGTATACGTGACATTACTGAGTCAGTTCAGTTATGCTACTATGTTTTAGCATTGACCAGTATCCTCCGGCTGCCACTTGTGGCCACAGTTCATCAAAGGTTACACACAGGAGTCTCACTGGAAGAGAATTTAACTGTAACGCTTTCCATTGAAAACCCACTACATTTAAATTGGATTAGCATTTTTTAAGTAATAACCGGGTGTTGTGTTCCTAGGGTTAAATATATAAATATAAAGTAGTTTTTATTATAAAGTAATGTCAAATGTCCTACTGTCAAATCAGTATGCCATACTTCCATTTCACTGGATTCAGGCATCGCGCCCCTTTTCAGTGCAACGTTTACTTGTATGTTTATAAATGACTAAAGACCTAACGATGCCCAGAGACACACAGTAACTAAAGCCGTCCACATCCTTATGTTAGCTAATGCCACCTTTTATCTCTGGGAATAAAAGGCCATTGAGAATGAAGAGCAAACTCTGACCACAGAGGCAGTCTCCTCATGTTGGAACACAGAGAGCCACAGTGAAAATATAAAGAACCGAAAACATTTCTATCGAGGTAAGGTGCCCAGACATGCTACTATTAACATACATGCCGCAGTACTGCAGTCTGTGCGATGCTGGTTTGTGACATTTTATACCAAGAACTCACAATTCAACATAAGACTTAACTTTAATGATCCCTGTAGGGAAATTGTGATCAGATAAAATAAAAATAACAGAATAGAAACAAGAAATAGGTGTCATTTTAAAGTCCTGACAAGTAAAATACTAGAAAATGAGAAATATAAAGTACGTAAAGGAACTGCTGTGAGGCTATGGACCATTGAAAGGAACATTAAACTGAATGCAGAATGTGGGAATATTCTCACAAAAGATGTGTGTGTGTGTGTGTGTGTTCATTTATTCCGTGAAAAGGTTGCAACCATTTTTATCTTTTATCTGCGTGTAACAGATAATGGGAACATGAGAATATAAAGAGTGTTTTACATAGGAAGGAAGCATTTCTCTGGGAAATAATGCTAGAAAAATCTATCATCATTACCCTCCAACCCTCCTCCATTTCACACACACACTGCCTGACTCTGAGCTTGAGCAAGGTGATTTCCATAGACAGCCTTCAGAGAAGCACTGAGCCATACCTGGGCCACATGAGGAAGTCTTGGCACTGGCAAATCACATTCAAATTCTGCCCTCAAAATTTGCTTGTCTCCCAGCCAGCGCAGGCTTAATATCAACTCTTTCATGTTAGCAATATGCAAACAAGTGAGCTTGTTCTATCGAACCCTGACTGTATGTCCCTGCAGTCTGATCTCTCTGACTCTGCACGAATCTGTATCTGGGTTTAGAACAGAAACAGACAGACACACGAATTATACAAGATTGTATTAACAATAAGAAAACATAAAATTCATATTAATTACACAACAAATCTATTATAGATCAAACAGAAGTAGATGAACCAGCTGACAGGTGCCACTGTACGTGTATATTCATTCTGTGCAGCCAACCATCGTTCCATTAGAGATCCTGAGGTTCCGAAGATACCATCAGCAGTCTGCATACTAAAGAACTTCATACACTCAATTAATTTTCTAACAGGGATCTAACATTTTGCTGTTCAAACCCCAATAAGTTTGTAAACGTCTCTGTTCTGAACAATATTGTAGGTTCTGGTTTGCACAGAGGAGAATATTAATGGTGACTGTAGATGTTTTGCTCCTGTAGCATGCTATGATGATGAAATTTGATACTCATCTAGAGTAACCGCACAATAGGCCCTTTGGCTTTTTGGCCCTGCCTGCTCATCTTTTGTGAATTGGATGAATGCCTCCTTGTGTTTTTACCTGTGACAATATTTTTATCTGACTTTTTAAATGTGATTTCTTTTTTTCTTTATTTTTTTTTGTGCAAATAAGACAAACAAAACAAAATGTCTGAATTAGGAGTAATTTAAAATGAAAACTTCCTAAACATTTCTATTTGATGGAATGGTCCTGGATTTGAATATTGTATTTAATGCAGCTTGAACATCATATAGCTTCAACCAAGAGCTGGAACAACATATTATAATGCAGAGTGGAAAAGGAAATAAGAAAGTAATAGATAAATATATTTTTACACAGTTTCTCAACTTCTTCTGGATTTCCTTGTTATTCCCTGAAAATCCTGCAGTTAGTGAATTATTAAATTGTCGTGTAAGTTGAACGTTCAAGAGCATAGAGTGAGATTTCTAAAGCTAAAAACATTTAGTCAAGTGCTGCGCTTGAAAATGTTCAATTCTGAGGTGCTTGTACTTTACTTGAGTATTTCCATTTTGTGGTACTTTGTGTTATATCACTACATTTCGGAGGGTAATATTCTACTTTTACTCCACTACATTTAGCTGCGGTTCCTAATTGTTTTCAGAGATTTTACATAAAATACTTCTGATAAGCTTAAGATTAAACCCAAAAAAATGTGTCCAGTCACAGGTTTCAGATGTCTGTGAGGGACAGTTCCTCTCAAACTTCAACAGCTTTGAGGCCTAAAGAGGACAAATTATTCAGTATCTCACAAAATAAGCAAATGTAAGATAACATAAAAGTCCTAAAACTAAATTCATACAAATTCGTGCAGCAGACATTTCTGCCTACCCTACTAAACCACACATTCTCACTCCCAAGTTGTCCCTTATGGAAGCTTGGACAAGACCCTTTGGTGTTGCTTTTTAATGCACTGGGAACCCGTTTAGGGACGTTTTTGCATGAGCAGGTCAAGTTATAAATAAACATAGAATTTCAAAATAAAACACATGGTTAATCTTGTGAAACGGTTGAGTTTGGTTAGGTTTAGACACCAAAACTACTTGATTAGGTTCAGGAAAAGATCATGGTTTGGGTTAAAGTAAGTGCGTTAGTTACATAAGTTAAGTTACATACATTAAGTCAAGTTACATATATTACATTACTGGACTTTCAACAGGTGAACTGGACTTTGACCTTAATGATAATGGAACTCTGTAGCTGCTGGATGTGTGCGATTAAGCTCGCCATATTAACATAAAGGTCATGATGAATCAGTCACTGCGTTTTCATGCATTCTAATTTTCCACTATTATTCTGAATATGACAATATTCCACATTTGATACAGGTCAGGTAAAAAGCATATTCCTTTTGGATATTCAGAATGAGGCCATATTCTGAATGTAGCATTTTACTATTAAGACGTGTCGATATCATTCGGGTTTCAGGAGTATTCTGAAAAAGCTTCTCATTTGGGGTTTTTACTGCAGTTTTTTTTTTTTTTTTTTTTTTACTACAAAGCCTCTTTTTATGGTCAAATCTGTGCGGTGTATACAAACCAACTAGCCAACTGGTAGAGATGCGCACGCAAAAGAAAACATTTGTGGCTGGAAGGCGAGACACACCTACTTTTAAACATTATGAAAGGCTTGGATATCAACAGGTTTTTGGATATGTGCAAATATCACATATTAGACATATGCATGATGGCTCAAGAGGCTCTAGCCGTTCCACTTTTCCATATTTTAAAGTGATAAGCAACATGTTAGGGCTTAGTCCCCTGTCCAACACAGCTAAGACTGGCATCAACGTGGGATCCACGGTTGCATGTAAACAGGAATTGTAGTGAAATATTAATTTTAATTAGCCATGTAAACTGTAGGAATTTTGTCTTTTTTGGAATAAGGCCAGAATGAAGACCTGAATAATTTGTACATGTAAATGTAGTCATTGTTGTGTTCACAACTTGTTTAAGCTGCCCCCAAGTGGCCAAAACAAACAAGTTATATATATGTGTATACTTCTGTCTAAACCCTGTCTGCATGTAATCACGTGCCAGTAATCACAACAGAAACAGCAAAGTTTAAAGGAAAGTTTAGGAAATAATGTACAGATTATTTCTTCCTGTCCTGGTCATCATTTAGTAACCACCCCAATGAATCTTGTGACCTCCAGTTGTATTGGTTATTACTTCAGAATCCATCTTAAAATCTTACTTGTTACATTCGAGGCTTCACCTGACTCTGTGCCAGAGTTCATCAGTGAACTTTTCACTTCTTGCTGTCAACACATTTGTATCCACTTGTTTTCAGACCATGACATACTACATATTGTTTTCATAACACGGCTCGTCACGTCATGTTATCGGCACGTCATGTTATCGGCACGTCATGTTATCGGCACGTCATGTTGTCGGCACGTCATGTTGTCGGCACGTCATGTTGTCACCTGAATTTCTTTTCTTGCCTTTATGTCTGATTTGCATGACTGTTACTCCTTTTACCTTACTGACAGATCAACTGATTATGTATGTCTTGTGTCAACATCTTTTTTTATACTCATAATATTGTATATCTTGTGTTTTGCATTTCATTTTACACACTGGGAAACGCTCCTCACTTGAAAAGTGCTGTGCAAATACATTTTTTTTAAAATAATTATCTTCTGAGGGATAGACCTTCACCACAGTGTCAGTCAGTTTGATTAAAGACAGTATAAGCTATATTGATGTGTATACTGTGTCTTGTCCTTTCCGAGTCATGCTCGGAGGCTTTAATGATGTAAGGCAGCAAATATGGCCTCTGAGTTTAGTAATATACTGCTCATCACTTTGTTTCTGTTGTTATATGTTCTCTATTATTAGAAGTGTGCTTATTCCTGGGTCTGTACTTTATTTTTTGTTATTGCTGATTTGTTGGTTTTCCTTTGGCTCTTGTGTGGATTGCCTACATTGGCCTCTGTTATCCAGATGTGTCTGTGTATCCCTATTTGTTATGTCCAAAACAAGAAAGTAAGAAAATCACTGAATTCACACATAGGTAGGGTGAGTATTCACTGACTGTTTTCTTGATAATTATAGAAATAATAAACTCTCCAACACAGACTAGAGGCCATGAGCAAATACAGGTGGATTACATGTATGAAAAACGAACGAGAGGTTCAGCTGAATGTTGGTATAAAAGACACATTTAGATAACAGCTTTTCAAAAACTAGCCTTAAGTGAGACACATTCAACAAAAGGAGCCCTGTTGTTTTAACAGGCTGTTTGCTCAGGACTGAGACCTGAATTTGACAGAATCCAGCATTTGTGAAAGACATAATCCACTTCAGTGCATTCTTCTAAAAGTTCTGTCACTCCTCAACACCCCCCCCCACCCCCCCCTTCAATTAAAACATCCACATTGTGTGCCTTATTTCAAGTCTTGTTTCTCCGTCACAGGGAGGATCGACAACTCCACCTTCATTTGTCCAGATGCCAGGTGAGGCTCTGCAAATCAAACACATCAAAGATCTTCCTCTCACTCTCTCATTCACTCTTGCAAGACAAACCTGTCAACGCCGTCTCAATCAAAGCAAATGATTGCTACTCCTGCCATGATGAAGATGAGCTTATTCTTCTCAGTGTAAAAGCTTCATATTGTTCTTTGCAGGGTCTCACATGCTGCCCAGCTACTATGGCATGAGGCGTCCCTTCATCTCAGAGTCAGACTTCTGCCAGTCCACCAAGCAGTTCTCTCCTGACATCTATTCGTCCACTCTGGGAGGTAAACCTCTGGGCTGCGAGCCCTCCGCCATGAGCAGCTACTCCTCCCTCATTGACAGCTACTACCCAGAGACCTTCGGTGATTACCGCAGCGCCGCCGCCTTCTCCAGCTCTGGAGGATCCTTTCTCCCCTCATCGGCCCTCTCATCCCTGCTGCCTTTCGGTGGAGAGTCCTCGCATTTATTTCTGGTATGATGGGGTCACGCTGAATATATATGACAGAAATGAGTGGAGAGGGGATGGAGGTTCATCATCATCATTTGAGATTTAATATATTGTAAATCCACCTAAAATACCTTTAACACAACTTTTTCTTAATAATCATATATAAGTATATTACAATAATGGCTGGGATATGAAGGGAAAAGCATTCATTTATGGACATAATATTTTATTATACAGCTTGTGATAACTATCTAGTTAAAAGGATACCCTCATTATGATTCACCACATCCCTGCTATGGTAAGTGAAAAGAATCTGTGTGCTAAGAAAGTTCTACCTGACAGGAACTGCAGGATTATGAGTATTGATGTGCACAGTCCTCACAGATTTTCAAATCTGTTGGACTAGAGGGTTAGGCAATTTATTTCAGAGGCATTCTTTGTTCTATTTGTTGAAATTCTCTTTATATACTGCAATCAATGTATCAAATGCTCTGACACAACATTTTTTTAAAATCTGGTGTCTGATGCTATTGCATTAAGCCCAGGACCAGCAGCGGACTGGCTATCTAGCAATTCTGGCAAATGCTAGAGGGGCCGGACCATTTGTTTTGGGATTATTAATAAATAAATTGATGCATAGGATGGGGCTTTATCGCTTTCACAAGTTTACTATGGTTATAATATAAATAATAATCAGAGGTTACTCAAATTGGGACATTCAGTCAAAATTAGTGGTAAGAAGAAAACACTGACAAACAAATTTACTCTGCAGTAAAAAAATAAAAGAAATAAATGATCCTCTCTTGTCTTCCTGCCTCAGAGAGACTCATGGGAGCAGTCAGTACCAGAGCCAGTTTCCCAGGTGGAGGCTCTGTGTCCAGACAGCCTGGCCTCCGTCAACGTCCCGCCCTCCATGTCCAGCCCAGAGCACCCAGGGAGCCCCTCCCAGTACCGCTCCCCCAGCCGAGGCTCCTCTATGGGCCCCGTGTCTAGCAGCCAACCCTACACCCTGCACTCTCTGGAGGACGCCCACTACCACTCCTTAACCACCACCAGCTCCTACCCGGTCCCCTCCACATCCTTTGCCTGCCCTCCCTACATGAGCAGCCCCGTCAGCGACCTGGTGTCCAAGATGGTGACAGAGGAGGCAGCTGACAGCCACGCCAGCCTCCCTGCCAATGGCGAGGCTCACTCCTGCTGGGCCAAAGAGGACGGAGTGAGCTCCTGGTCGCCCTACGAGATCAGGAGGGCTTACTGACTGGATGCCGGGCCTGAGGTTCCGAGTCCATAGGAAGATGGAGATTTTACAGACAATTAAATAATGGACTCAACAAGCACTTGACAATACAGAGGAAACACACTCAGTCAAACAGTCGTGAAGTGTTTTGTTGAAAGGACAATGTCAGTGCAAGATTCAAGTTTGAATATGTTGGTAGGAGTGTGGTAGCCTATGTTGACCAAGGTGCCCATAGTACACCCTGACATGATGTAAAAAGTGTGTCTTTATTGTTTGATTTGTATTAAAAGAGTGACAAGTATGGATTTGATTAGATTTAAATCACACCATAAGCCTTAAAACTAAAAAACAAACAAACTTTGTAAAACAAAATTTAGTACAGTTAATAAAATAGGGCTGTTACCGTCATGTGTATAATATGAGGACTTGTTATGAAAAACTAAGAGAACATGTTACATGCTTAAGACCCTTAAACTTACCTGGGAGGGGGTACCTCTTCAGTCGGTAAAGGGTAAGATTGTGGAGTGGCTCCACTGACATATAGAGTAAACATGTCTGATCTTTAGTATATTTAATGCGACATTAACCAATAAACAATAAGTTGACTGTGATGGAAATTCTTGTTAGCGAGTCAACTCTTATTGAAGGAGAAGGTTTTAGGAAACTCAGGCTGTCTTACACAGCATTACATCCCTTTGCTGTACCATAGAGTCTATCATGTGTCTGTAGCAAAGGGAGAGAGCAGTCAGCCTGGGTCTACAGGCTACCAAACGTGCAACTTGACCACAACGCCAAAGAGCCAGGCTCGCTGGTGCCACAGTCAGAAAGCATACACACCCGTAGTGACGGTACTCTGTCACAGTATCCCATAAAGGGTCATTCTTTGCTGGCCTAAATATGTGTAGGCATCCAAATGGAAGCTAGACTCCAATACATAACCTAAGTCGTGTTTGGAGCCGGAGGTCACATGTATTGCATTCAAAGTAGAGACAGTCTGTAAACATATAAGATCGAAGAAGCACACCAAACCCCTGTACATCCTGTCCTTAGGCTCCAAGTTAATGACTTTTTAATTCCCAATGTACACAGGTTTCATCATGCACACAGGGAAAGACAGCCGCTTGAACTATTGATGGAGAGACAGAGATCATTCTGTTTCTATGTATGCAAGTGACCTGAAAATTGTACATATATGAACCACACCTCTCCTTTAACACCACCTGCTGTGCTTGAGAATTTAGAAAACTTGTTAGAGCAAAGAAGTGAATAGACCCATGGTTGAAACTGCTCATCTAAGTGGTAATACTCTGAAGGCAAACTTGGCCAAACCTACTGGGTAAAAAAGAGACATTGGCAACGTCAGCATCACTGTGTCTTGAATGGAAACAATATTGTGGCAATATCCACTTTTACAGAATACACAGTGTTTATTAAAAGTTCAGTTGAAAACAGTTGGAACATGACTGGTGGTGCTGCTGAAAGGGGTTAGCTAATCAGGGCAGTAGGGGTACATCAGACAAAAAATGTAGAGATCCACAGCTTTAGCACATGGGTCAGCGGTGACCCTTATTCAAGGAGAGTGTTAGATATGGCTCAATACAGAATTAAACAACTATATATAATTTAGGTTAAGAAAATAGAACAATACAACAACTGAGAGCCTGAAAAGTATGATGAAGACATTACTTCAGGCGTCTCAGTGGGTACATTGTTGCAAATAGAATGAAATTATGCAAGTCTGCTTTCTGCTGGGGGGTACCCTGGGCAATACTTTACTTTAACCCCCCTATAGCATTCAAAAAGCACAATCTAAACAATAATAAATACCTTATAACTTATTACTCACTAAATATAGTGGTAAATAGATAAGGCTAAGACATTTTTGTGTTTCATGTCTTTGTCACAAAAGACACCAAACAAATGCTAAGACATAAAGGCTCCTTTAATGCACATTTGACAACATTGAACAGAAAGTCCTTTGCTTTATTACAAATGATTGATGAAGTGAGTCAATATTTAAACCCTGCCAGATATCAATTTAACAGTAAAGTAAAGCATTAACTGTGTATATATTCACAGGTAAGTATAAAACTATTAAGAAATATATCTGACACTAGTGATGATATTATTACTTGTTAATATTTACACGTTTTAGTGTGTTGTCAAACATCAGTAGTTATGAGTGCATCATGGGACGAGTTATAGTTGTTAACAAAGAAACTGATGAACGCAGATGTCCTCATATCTGCCTACAACCACACAAAAGTGTGTTATAAACATTTTAATAATTGTTATACTGTCTAGAAATGCTCAATCTGATGAAAAAGAAGGATTATGTCAATCCTTCTTTTTCATCAAGCTTTTTCAATCAGACAACTGACAAGAAAATCCCATTGATTCATATTTATTGTCTAAACACTCATACTTTGTTATGTTCAGCATGTTTAATTATGACTGTTAATGGACCGGAGTCCAGTGTTTTCATGGAGCTCCATATTTTCCTAAAGAAGTGTATCAGTAGAACTCCTGTTAAATGACACAGCATCTTAGTATTGCTTTTTTGAAATGATTACACATTTTTGTTTTTAACCTAGAAAACAACTGCAATCAAAATAAGGGCTGATGCTGATTGAATAGGTTTCATATTAATACTGAAACTGATACATCCTTATATTTGTGTGTGTATCTATAACAGACCACTTTCTAAAATGTATTCGAAAGGTTTTGTTTTTGGATCACGAATAAACATGATAGTAAACACAGAAACACTTTAATACTGGCCAGCTCATTTTGTCAAACTTATAAAAGTAAAGTGATACACAGGTAAATAAATAGGCAGACTTAAAGGCAGGTGAGCTGGGAAGACGTTCTGATTGTTGACCACTAGGTGGAGCCCCTGCAACAATCCTGCAGCAGGAGAAGAGGCTCCGCTGTGCTGCAACAAGAGGGTGAAAATCCATGACTATGATGGAAGACGACAGGACAGGGAGGAAGAAGTTTAGGGAAGTTTAGGTGTGTGTAATGTAATGAAGAGGGGACTTCATGTGAAGTGCTTGTGATCACCAAAGAGCGCTTTTAAAGGAACGAATATGACCTACTAACATGTCATATACGTCAAAATCTATCACTTTCTATATGGAGTTGGGATTCTGCAGCTACTACCACGACTGCTACTGAAACAAATAATAGAAATGAATGTATAGTTGTAGTAATGATAATTTCAGTCATGATAATTAAAGTAATAATATTAATACCGAGGTTTAATGAATAACGTTTGACCAGTTTGAGAGACCAGATTGCTCCAGATGATCACAGATTGCTGAATAGGACAATGTTAGTATAAAATGTTTGTATTTGTATTTTTCTGACATTTCGATTAATTTAGTTACCTATTGTGCGTCCTAATTTAAAAAAAAAAAAGAAAGGTAAAAGTGTTTTGCAACATTTTATATTCCAATCTGAATATATGCCTATTGTTGCTGTGGGATGTCCAGAAAGAGCTACCAAAGTTCTTCATGCCTCCTCCTATAGATTATTAAAGAAAATGAATGCGTTTTAGCTTTAATCAGCTGTGTTAAGTTTAGATGGAAATGATTCGGTGCTGAAATAGGGTGTATTCAAACTCCCTGTCAGACTGTGGAGCTTCAATGGGAAACTTTTCATTATTCTGCAATTTTTATTTATAATTTTATTCTCTAAACTAATTAAAAGTCTCAAAATATAACGTAATAATATAAAAGCAAAGAGCTGATGAGTCTTCTCCCTGCAGGCTTGAGCAGGTGACTGCACTCAGAGCACTTGCTAAGGCCTGAGCTTGCAAAGATGGCTACTGGCCTTTGCCACGCCCACTTCTTTCTCTCTTTGATGTGCTTTTTTCTGAAATAAAGCTTAAAAATATGTTTGAATATGTTCTTGGCGTGTAAACTGGCCGCGGTAAACGTGTGATGGCAGATATACGGTGAATTGGTGTGTTAAAGTTGCGCACAAGAAGCATCCAGTGCTGCAGTGCTTAATGAGGGGGGTGTGATGCTCTGATATTGCAAAAGGAGGATAAAATTTAAAAAGTATGGTTTCTTTTTGGTCAAAATGTAAAATACTACTATATTACATTAAAGTGGAGTTTATGCGATGTCCATGCGTAGTGCTTTTTATTGAAAAATCGATATAAGACAGTTGCCTCTGAATATTCAAATTGAAAGTAACGCGCAATCAAATCATTGTCAAATCATTGAGTTCTAGGGGTTTTAAATAGTAGGCATGGAGGGAGAAAATCTCAAACTAGTATATCCCCAGCTATAATACAATATTTGTGTATGCTCTCACTCTACTGTAAGACATTTGTGTTGAAATTTTGGAGACTTTTGAACAATTTTCGTTCTTGGCCATTTTGCTGAGGCAGAAAAGGACGTTGTGGAGTGGAGTCCCACAGGTCTTCTCCAGGGAGTCTCTCTTCATCTCAGCCATCATGTCTGGTAAGTTTCACATCGGATTTTCATGGAAATGAATGTGTAGTATTTTGTCCTGTTAGACAGAAAAGACAAAAGACAAAAGACAAAAGGGGATGTTTAGTGGCAAAATTAATATCAAACCAGGGATACGTGCAAAATGAGGAGTTTTTCCCTATGGATGTTCATTTCATTACAAATTTTAATATATATGAATATATAAGATGAACAAAAGTAAAATTCAACTAAATTAAGCCACCTGATTCCTTTGATGGGTGGATCAGGAGCTTTTCCATTTAAGTAGTCTGGTGCAGCTTTATGACATTTGTGGATTTTTTTTACATGTTAAATCGTTATGCCCACGCCATCACAAACGTCAGGGCATGTTGATATATATTTCCAAAGACATTTTATTAAAGATTAATAACTACTAGAACTAATAATTCAACCATAACCTCTCTGCCCGGGCTGCTTGTGCGTAACAGGACGTTAGGTGTAACCGTGTTAGAGTGGGATGTGTCTGTCGAGTGATTTTGAACCAACTATTTGCCACATTTAAAACAAATCCTGAAGTAGCAGTTAGGTGTATGAATATTTATTTATTTATGAGTTTCGCAGCGGAGGCTTCGTTTCGTTATCAAATCGCCTTTTTCCAAACGGCTCGCCACTCCTGGGTGCATTAAATTACGCCTTTAGGCCTAAACTGCGTGCACCTATGCGAGGTGTTCTTTCTGGGTTCGCTAATTAAGCTTCACCTATAGGAAAAATCTGGCAAATTACTGCCTGCATAAGCTCCGTAGCATTTCAGCATCACATATTCAAAAGGGGGTGATTTGAATAAAGTAACAGAGGTTGGAGTAGAGCTTTGGTTTGAATTATAAACAGCATGAGGCTGAAATTGCTCTTGATTTTTTCAAAAAATCAGTCCGATCAAGCTGAAGCTCAGACTGAACTTGTCAAACGTCAGTAGCATGGAGCTGAAATGCGGAGAGTATTCATAGATACATGTGGCGCTGCTCTTGCCGTTGCAAAATTTACGTTTCTATCGACTCACAGGGCAGAACTGTAAGTCAGACTGACACTTTCTCCGCGATCACTAGGAAAAGTTTTAAGTTTTAGTTACGGATCTATGTACAGACTCTTTTAATCTATTTGTCCTTGCGTTATACGCGACCGCCCCAAGCGCCCTTATTTAAATTTACCAATTCTATTCCAACCTCTGGATTGATCCAGGTTTCCCATTTCATTTCAACGTTCATTCTGTCGTACATGCCTTTATGATCAGAAATATACACTTACTGTAACGCATCTTGTGCCCCGTTCGTTTGTTCCTGGTCTGGGCGCGGTAGCTCTGGAACGCGGATCCCACACAGGCTGCAGTGAAAGAGTCTGCAGACGGCGTAATAGGAAACGCCGAGCCGTGCGGTTCCGCAAAGAGCGAGCCCTGACCGGGAGCACTGGGGCTCCAGGGTCCGGAAAAGAGGGCGAAAATACCCGAGCGCTGATAATGCACTTTTACGCATAGCGGTTTTTTGACAAAATGTTGGACTTTGAAGCTCCAGACACAGTTTAATCTACAGTTTCTTGTTTCTCATAACATGTTGGCTATGTGTTACCAACGAATAAAAAGTATTTCATTCAACATCAACAGTTTATTAGGGACAGGAGAATATGTAGACAGAATCATTGCATGGAGAGATTGCAGCTTATTGGGGAAAAATGATATTGGCCTATGACATCTTTTCAATTTGAGGGAAAATAACATTGTGGGCTTAAACTGAGGGGGAGGGAGGAAGGGTGGTGTAGTGGGTGGAGAAGAGAGTAGGTATTGTCGGCTATTGTTTGCTCCAATAGAGAGCATTTTGTAAACATGAGTGACATGCTGTTCTCTTCGTGCAGATAAGCCGAGGGTGTACCAGGGCGTCCGAGTAAAGACCACGGTCAAAGAGCTGCTGCAGAGGCACAGAGCCCGAGAGGCCACCAGCAAGAAAGTGAAAACGGTAACCCTCCCTCCCTCATTTCTCTCTCCAATACTTCCTGACAAAGCAAGGGAGAAAAAAATGAGCAAAGCAAAAAATGCCCCTGTAAATGACTGACTATCCCTCCATTAGAAAACACCCTAACAAAGCCATTAAGCACGCAAGTAGGCCTAACCACACACACACACACATTTAAAGTGGAACCCCCCCCCCCCCCCCACCCCACACTAAATATATGAACAAAATGATCTCTTTCAAAGTCAAATCCAAATTTTCTGAAAGGACATATCTAATGATCTTGTATCTTTCTCTGCTCTCCCCACCTTTCTTCTCCTAACAGATGGGTCTGTCCCAGGCTTGCTTGGATCTTCAGGATCTTTGCGCGTCCACACTTCCATGTAAGTTTACCCAGCAGCAATATCGAAGCCCAGTGTCTGAAGCTAAATAAATCAATTCAAACTATTAAATCTGCAGAATTTGAACCCAGACTCACCTAAAGCAATCACAGGCTCCACCTGCATTGGCGGTGTACGACTTGCAAATGCAAGTCAAAATTTGCATGCAGTTTGCAATGATCCAAATAAAAAAAAATCTGGTTGCAGTAAGACAACATAAGCAGATGCATCTAAAAAAAAGCAAAATCAAAAACATCGCGCACTCATGGAGGACAGGCAGCAATCTGCTGTGACCCACCAAACCGAAAGAAAATACTCACATGAACGCCCAGGTCATGACCAACTACAAGTCTAACCTACGTGGAATGCAATTCCGGTCAGCTATTGAATACCACATTCCAAAAGTGCAGGGTCCCTTCTTATAAACGAAGGCTGTGTGTTGGCTGATAGTGTCATGACATCACTCTTTGAAATTATAGGTCTATTTAAATATCCTCCTGTGGTCTGTTACCATTCAGAGACCACAGTGAACGAGCACCTTTCTTTGTGCTCTTGAATATATTTTACTATGTCGATAGATTGGCCCAAGAACATTTTAACAACTTTTCATTTGAAATGTATCATGAGTCTTGAGCAGATCGATTTTCAATCAGTGTATTTTGACATGTGGCGGGGTTGTAGGTTAATGTATAATATTTGGATGTAATGCTTAACCTGGAGCCTGTAATACGAGTTTTTCATTTTTTTTTTGTTTCCTTTATGGGCATTCTTTTAATCTAACTTGCTTTCCCTTAGGTCGCTATGTGGACCCTCCTCCCTCCATTCCACCAGCTGACGCCAGCAACTGTAGCGCGCGAGCCCTCCATCTGCGCGCCACCTTGTTCCCGGTCCCTGACAGCTCGTGCAACTTCCAGATGCAGGAGAGCACCTTCAACGACGTCCCGCAGCATTTTGA